CCCAGACCCCTTTTCTCCCAACGGGGAAAATTTAGAGATTGGAGAACACAAACCCCAAGATTCCCCCACCCAGTGGGGCGGGCTGGGAAATCCAAGGGGTTGAAGTCCACACATCTTAAAGTTGCCAAGGTTGAGAAACACTGCTTCTAGAGGTCAAGCCTAACAAATTTTACACGCTTGGAGCTGTCCTTGAAATAAGGGATAATCATGTGTCAGAATAAGGGGGGGAAATGTTGCTTTAATACTAGTGCAGGTGAGGATGACTTAAGGCTGTCTTACTCAGGGGTTGTGGATGAGATGAAGGCAATGTCATGGGGACAGAGCTGAAGAAAAAAAAATGTCACCAGGACATGATTACACCCTCATTAGCTGCAAAGTTACAGTCCTCAGGGTGAAGTAGATTCCACATAAAAGGGGAAGAAAGAGGTTTACTGTGCATGGTTCTGGGCTTAGCAGTTTGACAGATTAGCACTGAAATAAACTTCCGTTCCTTCCCTTCTATACCTGGCTTCTGTGTCTTTTTAAAAAATGGTTTCATGCACATAAATAATCACCTTTCGCCTTATCAAAAATAAGAACTTGCTCATATTTTCCAGAATAGCAAAACAGCTGAGTCAATGAGGAAGGAACAGAAGCTGTTTATCAAGCAGCAAAACTAGTTTGTTCCCTTTTTAAAAGGCATCGTTGGACACACTCTAACTGTATAGGTTTGACGTGGCAGTTTCCCAGGAGGAAAGGTCTCACTGAACCTACCAGCAGCTCAGCTTTTTTCTGATCTTTGGAGCACAAACTCTTTTAACTATCTTCAGGTCTCTCATTCACCCACCCCAAATGCAGCAGTCTGTTCCGTGGGTGGATGGGCACAGGTATAAAAATTGCTTACAGGCCTGCAGGGAGGCATTCAGAGGATGGCGATTCTTCCTTTCCATTGATGAACCTTATCTATTACTATAATAATAGGATTCATATTGATCCCAGTTCTCTGAAAATAATATATCTATAAACATATAAATGGACCTATCATTAAGTTATTGCAGGGGCAAACAACTTTTTTTTTTTTACCTGGGAAGGGAGGTGTGATGCACTTTTAATTTTTATTTAGTTGATTGCCTGCAAGGAACACAGGAATCATGGCAATGATGCTACCAGAAGAAGCAGGGCAACATTACCAAATGTCAGGAAAGTTGTGTTATTTGTTATTGGGATGAGAGAGGGAAGCAAAACAGGATCAGCAGCCCATTTTGATAAAGGCTCAAGAAGGATCACATAAAGCCCAGGCAGCTTTGGGTTTGCCCACCTCTGATTTAATGGATGAAATGGATTTAAATGGTCCACTCAAATGTGGTCATCTTGCTAGAATAGCGTAATGGGACATAAAAACCAGCCTGATGCCTTGCTTGTCAATGCCAGCTGCTTACCTTAGAAACGAAGTGTAGGCTGTGTTCCCCAACCTGGTAGGGAGAGAAGTGGAAAAATAAAAGTGAAGTATGATACCGTATTTAGACAAGGTTAGAGAAGTGTACGTTTTATTACTAACTGGATGATCTGGCTAGCACAGAATAGAACACAGGTGTAACGAGGCTACAGAATTCATTCCCACATGAGTAAGATCTGAAATGGGAAAATGGCCAGGGCCTTGCAACCTCTTCTCAGTTTTGAACTTAAAACTTTCTCCGAAAAATGTTATGTTCAGCCAGATTGAACACATTTTCTTCACTGCTCATTGCTTAGCTATTAATCTCTGCAGAAGATACGTAAGCTCACAGGGCAAAACCTTGAATCTTCCCCTTTTTTAATGGAATGAGCTCCTACTTCATATCAGCAGAAGGGACAATACGTAAGCATATAGAAATGCAAGACAGAAGGATATAGAGAAAGTAATTGCTTGAAGACTTGGGGTGTGGGATATGGGACATGGTGTCTGAACTGGAGGGAAGTGAAGACAGACTTCTGAACCCTTACCTGTTGGACAGGTTGCACGGAGGCGATCTGACAGTTGCTTGCTCCCCAGTCTTCACAGTTGCGATATACTCCTTTCTCCAAAATATATTGCTCCCCACTGAAATTCTTGCCTTCATAGGCTACCCACCTGGCCACAGAAAAGGAAATAAAATTTTCTCAAGCTCCATATTCATGTACTAGTCTAAAAATGGTGGTCTGGTGGTGATGTCGATTCCATCCCCTCTGTTATCCTCCAAGGCCCATCATATACCTAAAAACCAGAGTGCTCCAGGAGGCCATGCAGTCCTGTGTATGCTTGCGTTACAGCACCTAGTCTTGTAGCCAGCCTGGCCAAAGTTGGGAGATGAGGTTTGAAAGCTAATGTTGCCAGCTGGGAATTTAGGAGGTTGACATCCCAAGACATCCCAAGACATCCCAAGGAAAATACCAGGTTGGAGAAGATGGGGTTACAGTTTGGCCTTGGGTGCAACTGGGGATCTTTTTGCATTAGCTTACCCATAATAAGCCTATGCAACATTTTCTCTATTCTACTTTAGCTCCTTCAAACAGCTGGCCTCTCCATCATGCCCACTTAACCCCACTCTTGATTTTTCTTTTTATTAATCTGATGAAGAGCTTTGATGGTCTCAAAAATTACCTGACTTCTTTGAGGCTTTTTGACTGATCTAATTAAAGTATTAAGCCACTTCTGCTTTGCAAGGTCTCTTCCATTGACGTGGCTATGAACAATTTTTATAGATGCTGCACTGATATAGTTACTTGCCTTTTCTGGTTTAACTCTTGGTTTCCTGTGACATCTTTTTAAAGATCAGTTGCCCAAATCAGCATCTGCCCCTCCTCCCTATAGACCTGTTTGTCTCTGCTTTCCCTGCCAACCCCGTTAGGTAGACCAGACCAGGAAATCAACTCCACAGGATTATTACAGCCAAACAGAATCTTGCAAGCCTGATTCTGCTGTACCTCCCCTCCCCGCTTCTTATACACCCACTCTTCATTTAGCAACTACCTTGATTAGAGACCCTTTGTAAATACAACAGTAATAAGCGATAATAAAAAATTCATTTTCCAACCAATGCACACATTTACGACCAAATTTTGTGTGCCTAACAACACACTCTAGTGAGAATAATGCTGTATATGAGAAAACTTTATCTGAATGAGACAGCAGCAACCAGTGATCTTCGCAGCATCTTTCTCACTCTCTCTCTGTCACGTGTTCACTTAGCAACCATTTCATTTAACGACCTGGTCATTGGAATGGAACTTGGTTGCTAAACGAAGAGTAGATGTACTCCAATGAATTAGTCCACTTCTGAATATTATCTTGTTTCCCAGGACTTAAAGAATGTTTCAGCCCGTTTTGCCTAGGTAACAGATTTTGCCTATTTCCATCAAGGTAATTTTCCTTACTCTCTACATTTCCTCAGAAATACTCACACTCCACTCAGGACATGGATGGATTGTGTCATGATCCCATAGCTGGCCAGCTCAACATCTGGCAGAGCTTCACTGAGCTCAACACTGGGGCCATCTTCAAAATCCATGGCTTCAAATAGCACAAGGGCTGGGTCCAGAAAGTCCTACCCAGGGATGAAAAAAAATGAAGGTGTCATAATGTAGCAATGACTTTTTGATGTAACGTCCTAGAACAGTCCTCTCACTCAAATTATCATGAGGACCACACAAAGACTACAGGCAGTCTTTGGGTTATAAAGGCAATTGGGACCAAGATTGCTGTCGCTAAGCAATGCATTCATAAAGCGCAACATCATGTGACCACATCGCGTAGCGAACAGCAATCCTGGGCAGTTCCAGTTGCCATTGTAACCCCAAAATGTGTGGGTCGTTAAGCAGGAAGAGGCGGGAGTCCCAGGTAAGGAGCGCAGGAGTGCAGGAGTGCCGGGGGGTGGGGAAGCCAGGGGAGGGCATGGAGGGCTGGTGCAGGGCCACACATGGGTGGGGGGTTACTGCAGGCTGGAGAAAAAGTGGAAGCAATTTACCGGAACAACTTGCAACCTTCTCTGCCGGATTCCCCATTGACTACTTGTGGGAAGCCAGTAGGGAAGGTTGCAAATGGTGATCACGTGACTGTGCCTCCTTGCAATGTCATAATCACTAGCTGGGCACCTGAGCCCCCAGGTCGCAATCACATGACCATGGGGTTGCTGTGATGGCCAGAATATCGAGGACCGGTCATGTGTCCATTTTTTTCAGTGCTGCTGTAACTGAATAGTCGCTGAACGAATTGATGTAATCCAAGGACTACCTGTAGTTCATTATCCTGAGGGCCGCAACACTGAAGCCTTTTCATACATAGATATCAAAGACTCTAGAGGGCTGTTATTCTATCAACACAACATATCAGGTTATTACAATCACTTGGAAGTTGTAATGCATCTGGTGTGATGTGGAGAGGGGAGGATTTTTTTTCTGTTGGACACCACACTCTCTCAGAGGTAATCTGTCTAGAATAGGGACAGAGCCCTAATCCAACATTTTAGTTGGGGGTACTCTTCCTCACTAGAGTTCTTCAAGCAGAACCTTTGTATCCTCTGAAAGAATGTTCTAAACCAGGGTTTTCCAAGCTGTGAGGTGTCCTTGGGGAGGAGCAGACAGAGTCCAGGGGAGGTATGAAGAAACTTTTAGTTGTACACTGTTACAGTAAATCCACCTTTCCCAAAATACTAGTTTCAAGTGAGTAACATGGTGGTGGTGGAGGCACAAAGTCTGCTTTTTTATTTTTTATGTCTTTATTAAAAACAAAAGTTCATTGTATTGTTTTCATTGTTCATTTGTGTCCATTTCGGTGTTTCGATTTTTAGGGGAGGTGTGTACATGAAGATTACACTAGAGGTGTGATGGTGAAAAGTTTAGGAACCCATGCTCTAAAGCAATGTTTCTCAACCTCAGTAACTTTAAGATGGGTAGACTTCAACTCCCAGAATTCCCTAGCCAGCAGGAATTCTGGGAGTTGAAGTCCACCCATTTTAAAGCAGCTAAAGTAGGTTGAGAAACACTGCTTTAAAGATTCAGTACTTGCATAGCTGATACTGTAGGACCAAATGGCAACAGATCTCCCATTTTTAATTCTGTGAGCAAACAGGCATTCTTACTGTCCGGATCAGCCGCAGAGACACCAGCTCTTCATTATAGCCACCCCATTCTGTCCAGTCACAGTATTCTCCTTCTTCCAATAGGTACTGATGGCCACGAAAACCTTCTTTCTCATAGCCAACCCAGCTGAAGATGGGAACAAACGAACAATAAGAGAAGGGAGAGGCGGAAAGAGGGAAATTACTCTGATTCCTGAATATAACAGTACTTCTCTCTCCCCCTTCCCAAACCAGTTTATATATTAACAGACAACATGGTTCACATAGTGAAAATATTCTTTTTGTATTTACTGTATCTTTTTCTTTTTCTTTTAAATTAATGTTTTTGAAACAAAAGAGAAAAAGAGAAAAAGAGAAAAAGAGAAAAA